TACTTGCTCACATTTGCCTAAAACATGAGAAATTATTCTGAGCAAAAGAACCTGAAGTGGAAAAATTCACATCCACAGGCATGGCAAGCAAAATTCATTCTAACTCCTTGAAAACAGAGGAGGAGTCCCACCTCTTTCAGCAGCAGTGTGGCTTCGGAATCTCTGACACCCTTACCCGCAGCCCAGGACCTTAGAGACTTCCTGCAGAAGTGCTCTTTCTCAGCTGTTCCTATCCAAGTCTGAAACAGACAGTAAGGCCATGTACAGGTTCTCTGATTTATGTGGACGTGGAAGACACAATTTCTTACCAAATCTAAGAAGGCCACATAATGAAATGCTAGTCTATCACCACTGCCTCACCTCCCAGCCAATACACCCATCTCCAACACGCCACAGGAACTGCTCTGGCATGGAGCACTAGCGACCTAACCGTTGAGTTCAATCTTCCCTTTTCAGTCTCCATCTTATTTGAATTTCTTTGAGCAACTAAAACCACAACCACCCCTTTCTTCTTCAAAGGTTTTTCTCCCTTTCCTCCTAACTTTGTACTGTCCCATTTCTCTGATCCTAGCCATGACTTTCATGTCTTTGCGGATGCCTCCATTTCTGCTCCCACAACCCTGTAAAGTTGGTAAAACCCAAGTCCCAGCTTTCATCCTCTTTGTTCTCATTTCCTGAATGATCTCATCCAATCCAGCAGTTTCAGCCCTGCCTTTCATTCAAGCGCTTCCCATTCTCCACACCAGCCCAGACCATGCCCCTGAGCAATAGGGCCCAGAGACCCGATTGCCTACTGAACCAAAGTCAAAGGTCTAAAAGTCACCCTCTCCAGAACCAAGCTCCTTATCTCCTCTCCTTCACATTCCTCCTCAGAGGTTAGAGGCACCATTCTCTCTTATCAAGCCAGAACCTTCCAACCTCTCAAGCTCCACATCCACTAACTGTCAGTTCTATCTAACATCTTGCCCTCTTTTCCATCTTCATTGCTATTCCTCAATTGAATTTGTCATCCTTTAGCTGACCTACTGCAATTGTCCCTAACAATTGTATTTCCCACACCTCTAATATGGCCTCCATATTATTGCCAAACTAAAGCATGTTTTATTACCTCTGACTTTTAAATCCTTCCATTGCTCCATATCACCTAGCAAAGGAAGACCAGTTTCTTTGAATAATATACGGTCCCTTATATTCAGGCTTCTGCCTTCCTCTCAGGCTCATCTCTCATTAGTTCCTCACAGCACATTATACTTCAGTTATAACCAGTTATAATAATGTGGTTTTGTGTTTCTGCCCTTTTTCAATGTGCTCTACACCAGAAATGCCTTCCCTTATCCCACCCTCACATCTGACCCTTGTCTGCTTGGCAAATTCCTTCTCATCTTTCAAGGGTCTTTTCGGATCCCTCCCCACTATATTTGACTGCCCATTTCTTCTCTCGTGACATCCAATCACTTCATTATAATAATGTGCTTATATATCTGTCTCTTCCTTACCCAACTAAATTCTATATTTTTAATTTGTAATTTCATGCCATCTGACATTTTGCCTGGTCCATAGTCGAAGCTCAATAAATGTTTATGGGATAAACATTGTTGCCAAAAAGTCATCACTCACTCAAGATTCAAAAAGACCAATAGAATCGCATTATATACTTTACAGCAATGACCTAAGAGTCACGCTATTTTGTGATTTCATTTTCCCAATTTAAATGATGCATGCATAGTCCACTTAGTTCTGTTCTTTTTACTCTCAAGCACTCTTATCTTCTAACACCTTCCTCCAACTCTGAATCATCTGCTGGCCTTTATCTTTTGCTTCTCAGGCAGCCCTATTAAGTCCTATTACTCAGAGTCAAAAATTCCATTCTATTCCGTTCTTGGACCAACCTGTCCTCTGACCCTCAGAAGTCTCACTGGACCCTTCCTGAAATATCAGTCGGTATCTAAGTCCACTCATCTAGCAACAATCAACTACTGAATTTATATCGATTTTTTTCCTTTAACTTATATTAATCTTATCCCATCCTCACAATAAAGACAAGCAGGTCAGTCTTTATTGCTATCATTTTACAAGTGGAAAACAGATAATGAGAAACCCTGATGATAATACCCATCCTTTCTAAGTCCTCCCATTTAAAAAAGAAAATTAAAAAGCCTGTAAATATTAATTCTGGACTTCCTGCCGGGCAGCCTTCATATTATTGTTTGCTTTAAACATGACCTACCAAAGTCACATCCTATTACTGTCCTTCTACTGCTGACTTGACTTTAATTTCTCCCCCCAATGATAGCCTTCCTGTGTATGCCGGTGCTTCCACCCAGCTGATTTGCTCCAACTGAGCATTCCAAAGCCATCATTTTTCTCCCCTTTTCAATTCCCTAACCCAATGACTTTAACAAAGGAAGCTGTATTTTATGAGTTTTACCCCAGAGTCCAATCCTCTACTAAAATCTAGGTGAAATTTTTATCCCTAAACCAGTTATCTTTTTGAAAGGCATTTTTTCCCTGAACTCGGGCAATCATAACTAGATTCCTCCCAGGCCAATTTTCTGTGCTTCTCATCCTTTTCCTTTCATTGCTTGCCTCTAAAAGCAGGCAAGTAAAATGAGAGTCTACATAACGTAGTTAACCATGACTACTTTTCTACAAGCACTGGAAAGTGAGAGGAGACTCAAACTGCAGGGAGGAAATGAGGTTTAGAATTCCCTGCAGATTTCTCCATATTCTACTTCAACAGGCCCTCATGTTGGTTTTAGTTTTCGGCCTCAAGCACCCTCACTTTAATGGCTCTCACTAACCCTCCCCCACACCACATACATGGTGCTGTCCCTTACACGTGGCATCCACCTCCTTTTCGGTTACTAAAGAGCGGAAAGGGATAAACAAGCAGGAGTGGATGCACAATAGTTACTTTGTCTCTGTTCGCAGGAAATTGGCCCACATTTCCATAGCCACGTCTCCCTACCCATAAGCACAAGCCCAGAGTGTGAAACACACCTGCCCTTCCCACTTCCCTTTTTTAAAAAAATGTCAGAGAAACAATGATCAATTCTGTAAGTTAGTTCAGCTGGGTAGACTAAATACTAAGAAGCAGATTCAGCGCCATCTGCTTCCAAAGCAACCTCTAACAGCCAATCGTCTCACAGCTGTCCGTCAGTCACGGGGAAGAATATAATGGGTCTGTGTGTCCCCGTTTATAAAAACACAACCAGCACCAGCAGGCTCAGTGGGATCCTCCTATTTCTTTTATTCCCATTTTCAGAGGGAACGTCGAACTTGAGACCCCAACGGATTGAGTCACATGCAATTTCTAACTGGACACAACCTTGGTCATCACCCTGGCTCTCACGACAATATTTCATTTTTTTTTTACATGTGCATGTGTAAAACGTGCCTAACATGACAGGATCAGCCTAATTGGGGTGACCAATAGCATCACCCCGCTGGCTGGCGTCCACCTCTCTCAAGTAGCTGAGAATTAATGTTACAAGAAGCTTAGTAACTTTGCACTACAGAAGAGAGATACGTCCTGCATGCTGGGGCTGAGGGCTGAAGGGCAGGGTTTCAGCTCTGTCCTAGAGCAACTGTTCCATCTGAGACTGTTAAGCAGCAGCCTTCTCTATTCCTTATTCCCAGGTAATATTATAGGTAAAGTTGAAAAAATACAGATTAGACAACCAGTCATACTAATAAACTCAGAAATCATAAACAGCTGTTTGTTGAGATGTTGCCCTGATTGCCCCGATTTCAACACGACTGTGTGCTTGGACGCATGCCTCTGATCTCTTCTTCATTTCCATCTGTCCTGGGACTTGTTGTAGGAGAGAGGAAGATGAAATCTAGAGGTGATGGATGACGTCTCACAAGCAGATATTCTCTAAGTCAAGCCTGGGTAAAACTAAAAAGTGACAGCATTGTACACAAAGAAACAGGATCTACTGAAACAGGGTCTCCTCAGAGGTGCTATTAGCTAAGCTATTTTTGCTACATAAATGAAGATAACCCATCACCCGGTTCCTAGCAATCTTTCTAAAAACAGTATCCACTCCTCATATCCTCCGGACCCACTCCTCATATCCTCCGGGACGTAATCACTCAAAGTAGGTCAGAAATGTTGCTTCCTTCCCCTTATTGATTTTCATTAAGAGGGTGCACTTTCTGCAACACGAAAGGGAGAGATAAATACCCAATACAAGGACCAATGACTACCCCTGTCAGTTTTTGGCCAGCCCGGTCCCGTTACCCTAAAAGCAAAGGATTTTTTTTCATCACCCATAATTTATTCTTCTTGGCTGTATCTCAGCAATAACCTCAAGCAATGAAATACACAGGGGCCATGATGCAGCCAAGTGATGAACACCTCCCCGAAGGGGGCATATGCTTTCCGTCTGTCCTAATTTACTAGATCACCAGCCCGCCTCTCTCCTAAGTACACACTCCTTTTTTTAATTCCTAATTCATATCCATATTTTGCCAGGAGGATGCCACACACTGGCTTAGCAAATCCAAGGGCCTTATAGGAAAGCTGAGTGCAGGGGAGTGGGGAGAAAAGGCTTGTAGAGACCAGGGAGGGGATGGGAGGGGAGGGAAGGAGAGGGGCGGGGTGGGGGGAGCAGGGGAGGCGCGGAACACCCTCCCTGGGTTGGCAGCGTCTGGCTCCCTGGAGAAGCTGTGAGGAGACGGGTCTCCAGACCCCCCGGCGGCGCTGCCCCGGTCCCCTCTCCCTCGGCCCCGGGTCCTCATGCCTGACACTCCAAAGAGGGCGCCGCGAAGTGCTTCGGAGCCCGGGGAACACCGGGGCGCGCACGGGAGAGCATCCCCCCAAAGACACCTGAGCCACACCGCCTCCCGCGGCCGCTGCCCAGGCGGCAACTTCATCCCCGGGAGGAGAGAGGCCGGCGGAGCGCAGTAAACAGCACCCCCCCGCCCCCCGCTTTCCCTCCCCCCTCCCCTCTCCATCCCCTGCCAACTCCAGGTGGAGGACCAGGTGCGCTCACCTCCTGGCAGGGCGGCGGCGGGCGGCCGGCGGGGGGCAGGTCCCCGGCCCAGGCCGCCTGGCAGCCGGCGAGCACCCAGCAGCAGAGCCAGGCGGGGCGCCAGGGCGGCGGGAGCCCGCGGCGAGGAGCCCCCGGCGGCCGCCCCCGGCCCCTCCCGCGCGTCGGCCCCGGGCTGCGGGGCAGCATCTCCTCCGGCGGCGGCGGCGGGCCGGAGGGCAGGCGGCTCCCCCGGCGGGGCGCTCGGGTCCCAGGCTCCTGGGCTGCGCGCTCCGCTCGCTCCCGGCGCGTCCGCCGCTGACAGCTCGGCTGCGCTCGGTCCGGGCGGCGGGCGCCCCGCTCCCGTCACGCCGGAGGGAGGGGCCGCGGGCGCGGGGGCGGCGCGGGGCGGGGCGCGGGAGCCGGGAGCAGGTGGCGCGGGCGGGGCTGCGGGGCATCGAGGCCCCCGAGATCGGAGCCTCGGGACGGAGATCGGAGCCTCGGGACGGAGATCGGAGCCTCAGGACAGAGACCGGTAGCCTCGGACGCTGGAGAGAAGGAGCGCTGCCGGCCGGGGTCCCCAGTAATGTCTCTGGTCCCCCTGCCCGCCAAGGGGGAGGGGGGGCGCTCCGGGATGCGCCCGAGTGAAACCCAGGACATCCAGACCTTGCTTTCCCTCGGCGGGTCTTTAAAATCTCTGCTTCCCGCATCTCACACCAACACACCACACACACATATCCCTCCGTGGAAATGCAAACTAGCCAGCGTCAGATCGAGTTAGGGTTGGGGGTGACATGGCGAGGAAGAAAGGGGAACGAGATCCAGATGCAGCTCGCGGCTCAGTTTGCTCACCTCCTCGGTGAGAATCATAACAATACCTCGCCCGTGACGTTGTGGGGAGGACTGCACACACAGAGGGTTGCACATGCTGTGTGCACATGGATGTGCATGCAGTGCTTGGAGGGTTTGCCTGGCTGGCAAGCAGGAGGCGCGCAGGGGTGGGCGGTAGTAGTTGCTGGATGGGGATCACAAGTGTAACGCAAGCCCTTTTGTTTCTGGAGGAAGCAGTCCCACCGTCTATACGATGGCTGTGGTTTGCCTTCATTTTTTTTTTATTATTTCATTCAAAAATACACTGGACTGGGTGGTAGGCATCAAGTCGTAAACAAAATGGACATAATGCCCTGTCAGTGTAGTGGATCTCAAGGGACCCTTGTTAGTCTAAAATTCTGTGAATGGCTGGTTATCCTGTTGTTCAAAAGAGTGTGATAATTATCTGCAGAAATCTACCCCACACATGTAATTGACTGGGCTCTGGCTCCTCCCGTGTGGCTCCGTGGTTGAGCGTGGACCTATTAATAGGAACCAGGAGGTCACTGTTGGATTCTTAACCCATCAATGATTCTCTCTCATCACTGATGTTTCCATCTTTCTCTCCCTCTCCCTTTCTCTCTCAAAGCAATGAGTATTTTTTTTTAATAAGTTGAATTTGTCTGTGGCACTGTTTCTATGTCCTTTTAATTAGCATTTCCTCATGAAACATGAGTTTAACTTTCTTGTGTGTGTTCTGGTTAGATCATTAACACACTGTTATTGTAAATATTTTGGAAAATATTCAAGACTATCAGGAAGCATATAAAAATTTTTGATCCCACCTCCCAGAAGTAACACTACTAATGGCATTAGCATCTTGAGGAGTTTCCTTCCTGGTCTTTTAAATGTGTTTGCACTGAAAATCTGGAATTGCAATTTATAACCCACACTTATTTTTTTCTTTAGCAACAGGAATATTTTTTCAATTTATTAAAGCCTCTGACAGCACAGCTTTAACAATTGTATAACATTCTGTTTGATATAAGGCATTGTTTCTCAAGTATTTAATGTTATAAATAATGCTAGAATGAGTGCCCTTAGTATATAATCTATGCACACATCTTCTTTTAATTTTCTGTGATGTCTTTCTAGGATCGAAATTGTTGCATCACGTGGTATATCTATTTTAAAAATTTTTTATGAATATTGCATAAATTCCCTCCAAAAAATGTGTATCAGTTATTACCAATAGTTTATGGTACTATTACACTTTAAATATTTGCTATTTTGGTAGAAGAAAAAGTGTTATCTTATTAGTATTTTTAATGTATTTCTATAATTAGTAACATTGAATAGTTTTTCATGTGTTTACTGTCTATATATTTCCATCTCTTGTCAGTGTGTGTGTATTTTCCACTGGTACTCTTTGGCCACTTTTCTATCGAAATTCCATCTTTTTTTTTTTTTTTTTTTTTTTTTGCCGAAACCGGTTTGGCTCAGTGGTTAGAGCGTTGGCCTGCAGACTGAAAGGTCCAGGTTCAATTCCAGTCAAGGGCACGTACCTTGGTTTCGGGCACATCCCCAGTAGGGGGTGTGCAGGAGGCAGCTGATCAATGATTCCCTCTCATCGATGTTTTTAACTCTCTATCCCTCTCTCTTCCTCTCTGTAAAAAATCAATAAAATATTTTTTAAAGAAATTCCATCTTTTTTTATTGATTTGTAAAGCAATCTTTATAAAGTTTTTATATTACAATTTTATTACCACTTATGTCACAAATACTTTTCTCAGTTTGTAGTCTTCCTTTTACTAGGTGTATATGAATAATGCAGATTTTTTTTTCAAAAGATAGCTTTACAGATATGTTGATATATATGCAATTTGATATGTATGCTATTTTGTTGTATTCACAAGCTTCAAAACTTCATATGTCAAATTTGCTGAAGGTGTTAACATCATAGATATTTTTACCCTTAAATATGTTAAATTTCATGCCAAAAAAAAAAAAAAAAAGAGGATTTGCAGGAAGTTTTAACCCACCAGCTATTGCTCCTTCAGATTACCATTTGTTCCGATCGATGGCACATGCACTTTCTGAGCAGCACTTCAAAACATACGAAGAAGTGGAAAACTGGGTCTCTGAATGGTTTGCCTCAAAACAAGAAAAGTCCTATTGGGACGGTAACCACAAATTACCTGAAAGATGGGGAAATGTGTAGCTAGCAATGGACATTATTTGGAATAAAACACTTTTTATGTTTCTCTTGAAATTATCTTGTGTGTTTTTTAATTACAAAATCCACCATTATTAACCAGTACACCCAGTAATTTTGTTTCTGGTGACTTTTTTTTTCTGCAAGATTGACATTTTTATGAACTCAAATATAGCAACATTTTCTTTTGTGATTTCTTCCTTTGTTTTATGTTTAGAGGTACCCTGTTTCCCCCAAAATAAGACAGTGTCTTATATTAATTTTTTCTCTCAAAGTTGCGCTAGGTCTTATTTTCAGGGGATGTCTTATCTTTCCATGCGCTAGGTCTTATTTTCGGAGAATGTCTTATTTTCAGGGAACCACAGGTATCTATACCTATGTAAGAGTATACAAATATCTATATTTTTTCTTTGTATATATATTTTTATTATTTAATCCACCTAGGATTTGAGTCGTTATATTATTACTTTTGTCATCTAAATAAGACCTAGCAGCATTGCAAGTGGATTGAAAATAGTTTCTTTTCTTGTAAAAATAAAGATCAATACACCTTAGTTAAATAACAATTATAGGTTTTCCCAAGGGGGACAGTTTGCCACTGTCAATAAATAACTTTTTCAAAGGAGTCTTACCTATAGCAAATATCTTGACATTGAGTAATTATAACCAGCAAAAGACTTACAAAGGAAGGAAAAGATATCAATAAAATAAAATAAAAACTCTACGAATCCTTTGTTCCTGTTATTTTATTTTCTAACAGCAGACTATTCAAATGGTTTGTGATTACCTGATCGATAATTTTACCCTTAAAAGTCTAATTTTTCAAAAAGCACTTTAATAATAAAAATTTTAATTCCTAATGGAATTGGAGGGATAAGCTATAAAGGGTTAAAAAGTTTCAAGTTACCAGATGGTCATAGATCTTTTTCCCCACTTTTATTCAGTGTGTACCTAAAAATTAAACCAAACTATGTTAACAATCAACAAAAGCTGTAGCTATATCCAAATGATGTTAAACACATAGATTTGCTTTATTTCTTTAACTGAAAGCAGATTATGGTATAAATGACCCCGGCCGTGGAGGGCCTCTGGGCAGTAGGACAGAGCGGCCAGGTCCCGCAGAGAGCTACTGGCGCAGAGCTACTGGCCCAGGGCTACTAGTTAACTTAATAGTTTTGTTTTTTATTGTTGTTTCTTGTTTATTTTTAATTAAATTATTGGAATCTGGTCACAAGGGAGTCTTGGGAATGTTTTAGCTATCTCACCATTTTGGTTCAGGAAGGCATACTAAAAATGGGGCCAATTGGGGATGAGTCAAACTGCAATTTCTGCAGCAGTCCACTCTCTTGCTACTCAATATATAGAAGCACTCTTATTCCTGCATTAAAACTTTCCCCTCTGGGTGATGTTGATTTCTCTTCTAGCTCAGTGACAATCCCATCTTGTTATCTTAAAATCCAGCAGATAAACTGTAAAGTGAACTACCACCAATCTACCACATAGTAAAAACGAGGGGATTACTGTTCCACAGTAAAAAAGAGTGAACTATAGACACACTGATAATTGGGGTGAATCTCATAGGCATTACACTAAGGAAGGGAAGAAAGCCTCAAATGTGTATACACTGTATGATTCCATTTATATGGCATTCTAAAAGAGACAAGACTATCATGATAGAAATCAAATCAGTGGTTATCAGGGGTTAGGGGTATTGGTAGGGAAGTGTGACTACAAAGGATAACTCAAGGGATACTTTGGAGGGTGATGAAACTGTGTCTTGATTGTGATTGGGTCACACAAATCTATGCATTAAAATCCATTGAACTGTGCATCAAAAGTCCTTTTTATTGTATGTTAATTTAAAAATTTAAAAAATATTTAAGGTAAGTAATAATTTAGTAATAAATACTAAAATTGTCAGCCACTAAAGTTGACAGGATGTTAGGTTTGTAGATATTGAATATTTATTAATTTTGAAAAAACTAGGGAAACGAGGAAAAACACTGATATATTATTGTATACATAGAAAAACAAGGAACAAAATATGATCAGGGACAATAATTTTTATTTCTGCAACTACTTCTTAGATTACCTTTGGTAATGATAACTTTCTTCCTCCAAATTCCCTCTGCATTCAGGCAGCATCTCAACTGGCTGTGGGTCTTTGTCATAATCCCCTGATGGT